AATTTCCAGAGGTCCGATGGCTTCTGGCCATTAATCCTTCACATCCACAAGCTGTTCAGCTACCTAGGAGCCAGCATGCAGATGGTCTTTGTCATTGATAATTGATCACCAATCCACAGACCAATCAGTTACTTGTGGCACCTCGTACATTCCCCATCTTGCCACTTTATCCGCAATAAACATCACCACCAACCCGCTAAACCCCCAAACTGAACCTCTTCTGGAATACTGTGTACAACTCTGGTAGCCCTGCTATAGGAAGGATAGTATGAAATTGGAGGGGATTCAGAAAAGATTTACCAGGATATTGCCAGGACTGGAGGGTTTGAGTTATAAAGAGAGGCTGGATAGGCTGGGACTTTTCTCACTGCAGCATAGGAGGTTGAGGGGTGACCGTTTAGAGGTTTATAAAATCATGATCATAGATAAGATGATCAGCAAGAGTCTTTTCCCTAGGGTGGGGGAATTCAAAACTAAGTGGCATATTTTTAAGGTGAGAGGAGAAAGCTTTAAAAGTACATGAGAGTCAACTTTTCTACACAGAGAGTGGTTCGTGTGTGGAATGATGGAGGTACAGTCACAACATTTAAAAGACATTTGGATAAGCACATGACTCAGGAAGTTTTGGAGGGATGTGGGCCTAATGCGGACAAATGTGACTATTTAGTTTGGAAACATGGTAGGAATGGACTAGTTGGGCTGAAGGGTCTGTTTCCATGCAGTATGACCCTGTGACTCTAAGTGCTTCCTAACATTTCTCGCGAATGGTCTGACTGTAATTTTTAGACTGTGATCCCTAGCAGCATTCAAGAAACATCTGGACGAATACATGAATAGGAAGGGAATAGAGGGATACGGATCCTGTAAGTGAAGACAGTTTACATATGGAAGGGCAAAATGTGTTAGTGTAGGCTTGGGAGGCCAAAGGGCCTGTTCCTGTGCTGTATTGTTCATTGTTCTTGTTTCTAGATCTAGAAACATACCTTCAGATAATTATCCAATGTCCTTTGGAAAACCACAAGTGAATCTGCCTTCCTCACATTGTCAGGCAGTGATCAACCCCAGTGCACTGCAGAGCTGAATAAAACAAAACCCCTTAACCTGGATTGAAATCAGCAGGCAACCTGAAGCAGCTACAGCACTGACCACTCTGCTATTATTTATTAAATAAAATACTCCCCCCAACACTGAATGAAGTTGCAAATCCAGTGGGAAACTGCAAAAGATCCCATCAGCAATTCCATAAACAGATGTATCTTTCAGTCTCTGAACTACTCACCAGCTAAACAACAGTGTGGTTGTGGTTACATGCATGAGCTTTTATTTAAAATTCAAAACGATGTAGTTATATATAAAATACTGGCAGGGCTTTTCAGACAGCTACTGTCAAAGTTCTCTCCAGTTTGCAACATTCAGTTAACTTCCAGGACAGAAGCTCGGAAACAAATTCCCAGCATCCGGCAGAATTACTCGTGCTGCCACACAGAATACTCAGAGCCAGACTTAACAGAAACAGACCCTTTGGTCCATCCTGTCCATGCCAACCAAGTCTCCCATCTGGAGGCAAATTCAAAAACCAGCCTGATCTCATCCATCAATTCTCAGCTCAATCCATCCAGGGAGTCTGGGGAGAAAACATGGCCAACATAGCTTTGGTGAAGTGGCTGACCTAATGTTACCCAAAGGCTGTGCTTCAGTCTCCCTGCATTCAGCTTTGAGCATTGTCAGGAAGTGACCGCGCCCCCCCCACACACCCCCCCCCCCACCACTGCAGTTATGGTCTGGCCTCTCTACCTCGACTCAGATAGACAGTGTTTAACATGTCAGGACTGGACGGGTTGTGTTCCCGCTCACTCCCTATGCTTCTCCCATTCCCAGCTCATTCCTGTCAATATACCCAACATCACCAACCATAGCCCCAACTTGGACCACCAGCTCACCCCTTTTCCTTTACCCGAGTCTTCTGCCCAAAAGTAGGTCTGACCCACAGCACTGTGACCTCCACCACCAGCAGAGCAAGCCACCAAACCCCGTTCAAATGGCACCAGTGTATGTACACTGGCAAGCCAACAGAGCACCCCTCCCCAAGATGCCCATGTTGCTGCAGAACATGCACATTTTATATGCATGTTGTAGCCTGGAGCTACATGTAATATTGGTGGACAATCCAATCCTTTTCTATCTCATGGATGACCAGGAATCTCTCACGGCTTGCCATCAGCATGCGTGGGAGTGATTTACTGAGCAATAATCTACCTGCTTGGCCATGTGAATGGTCACCAAGTCCTGGAGTGGGGCGTCATAAAATCCCTACAGTATGGAAGCCATTCGGCCCATCGACTCCACACTGGACCTCCAAAGACCATCCCACCCAGACCCAACCTACCCCCATAACCCTGCTTTTTCCATAGCTAATCCATCTAGCCTGCACATCACTGGACCCTGTGGGCCAATTAGCATGGCCAATTCACTTAACCTGCACATCTTTAGACTGTGGGAGGAAACTGAAGCAAACCCACACAGACACGGGGAGAATGTGCGAACACCACAGACAGTCACCCGAGGATGGAATCAAACCTGGGTCCCTATTGCTGTGAGGCAGCAGTGCTAACCACTGAGCCACCATGCCACCCAAAGAATTGAACCCAGACCTTTGGGCTCAGAGGCAGGAACATTACCCATTGTGCAACAGAAACTCTTTTCTCTGTGAAGCTAGTACGAAGTCAATTCAGAACTACCTCAGTTATTCGTTAACTTTCAGTTTAAATAAACATTGTAGTGTTCTCTCCTTTAACCACACCCTACCGGAAGATATTTCAGAACTCCCCATTCCCAATTCCTTCTCTCTACAGCTCACAGCTACATTTGTCTCAATCAATCCATTCAAAAAGTGCTTCAATTAGAAATCAGGAATTCAGCAAGTTTTACAACTCCTCCATTCTGACTTAACTTATAATCAAGCTTCATTCTGTGAATAAAGGCTCTGTATCCAACATGGCTGCCCCATGTGCATCTTGTGTGAATAGGATTGATCTGTGGTAAAGTGAGGTTTCCATGATGAGTGTTTAAATCTGATTAGCTTGTTACGCAGACACACGATGGATAGTTCCAAACTCACAAGACTGATAACGTTTTGGAGTGCTGATTACTGGGTATTTGGCATCTTTTCAGAATACATCTTCAACCAGAGGGGGAAGCTGTTTTGAAATTATTTAAGTAACTTGCAGGTTCTCGACTCTGAATCTGAAAGGACATTTCATCAAGTGGCTGACAACGCTATAATATCAATTTCACCCAAACAGTAATGGAATTTCACAATTTTGTGTTTTAATTTGAGGCATTTTTTGTTTGTAAGCAAGACCTGCAAGGTTGTTCAACTGGGATGGTCCTTTGCAGGTACAAAGACAAAAGATATGGGCCAGAGAGACTTCCCCTGTCGAACAAAATCCTTCCAGCCCATCTTGTGCACACATTTGATTTCCATCCTTTCCTGCACACCATTCCCCAGCTGATATTTTGAGATAAGAAAAATAAATCTGTCCATCTGAAACTCATAACACACTGGAAACTTGGATATGAGAGCAAAGAGGGCAGATTTCTCTCTGGAGAGTTGCCCATAGCGTGTGGGGGAATCTGTCAGTGTTTCAGTATCTGAGGTATTTTTACCTGTCAATTATCAACCACGGGGCTGAAGCATAAATGGTTAAGAAATTGGAATCCCTTTCTCTAAATTCCAGGGACAAAACACAATCCTTAACTTCCACTTCCCCTCCTGCACCCCTGTTAAAGTCCAGTTGCCACTTTACAGCTGCAAATCACTGTCCCTGCCTTTCACTTCCTCCTCTATAATTCTTTCACACTAACACTGAGCTGCTGATGTGAAGTCCCAGTGCACGGACATTTGCATTAAAATGATTTAGCTGTGCACTGCAGCTGCTATTTAGCATAAAGGACTAAATCTCTCCTTTTCTTTTAAAGAAAAGAGGAGCAGGTCTGTCCCAAACCTTTCACTGCAAACCTACTTTCAATCTGATAACACCAGGGAAATGATCTCAGTGCTGCTCTCCCTTGACGAGATAATTTTATCTTTTTGTAAGGATTTGAATTTCTCCCCTTCTTTCTGCCTGAGTGGACTGTTGATTTTTCCCTTTTAAATGGGTGATGATGTCGGGAATGGTTTCCACTATCCACATAATCCAAAACTCAGGGAGGGGTAAGTGAGAGAGAAACAGCTGGGGGAGGAGAAAGGAGGCTATGGAAAGGGAGGTGAAAGAGCAGGTGATGGAAAGGAGATGGATAAGGGGAAGAAGGAGAGGGGACAGAGGAAGAGGTGCAGATGGAGACAGACAGAGTGAAGGGGAAGGAGATGGAGAAGGTAAATGGAAAGGGGGAGGAGAAAGGTATGAAGACAGAGATGTGGAAGGAGGCAGAGATGGACACAGATAAAGGGAAGAAGACAGGGAGGGGGAAGGGGAAGGAGAAGGTGACTGAGAAAGGGAAGGAGACAAAGACTGAGATGAAAAAGGCAAAGAAGACATAGATGGAGACGGGGAAGGAAATGGAGACAGGGAAAGGTATTGAGAACAGGAACCCATTTGTGAAGATGATGTCTAGAGCATGAAGTTCCTCCAAATAATGATTAGGAATTGAGAGGGCTCAGAGAGAGAATCCTATAGCACAACACAATTCTCTAAGGTGGTGTTAGCTGCCACCATCATGAGATCTGCAACCTGGTGACAAAAGCCCCTAGTGCCCCTAAACCACTGTCACCCTGTCAGATCAGACATCTGATCTCCTGGCACTACAGTTTCCACTTCCACAGAGTTACTCTTAAACAAGTCCAGTCCCTGTTTATGAACCATTGGTTCCAGTATATCTTAAAGTGTTTATGGACCACGGGGCTCAGCTACTCACTGCTAGGCAATTGGAGAGCCAAGGCCAGGCCTCTGCAGATGCACCCTGATGAAGTCAAAACTAAAGGTTAGCGGCTGGTCACTAACCTGTAGGCAACAATCCGGATTTACTGTCGCTGACCCCAAAATGTCTCTGGATGTCCGCCAGTACACCTGAGGAGAATTAAGAGTGGGAATTAGATTAAAGACAAAGAAGATAAGTAATAGAAACTGATGAATACATCTGAATCATTTCTCTGAAGCATTAATGATAGCAAATTCAGGCTTTGGAAGAATACAGTCACAGTTGATTGACTCACTGATACAAAAGGGTTCTGCTCATTATGAAGAGAGCAGGGAATAAAGGATTTCGATCATACTCAAGGATGAAGTGGCTGTGGTTCATAAAAGGGGCTGAGTCCGTGATTAATCATTGGAGCTGAGCTGCCATCGGGTCTTGATGTTAGCACAGTTCCATCAGCAGTGATAAATTCTGTGCTTGGAGTCAATGCATTTCACCTCCTCAGCTTTGAGTGCAGCAAGCAATGTTGGGCTGGTTGAAGCAACCGGAAGTGTAGTGTTCGCTCGTGAATTCACTGCAAAATATTCTCAACCATCAGGTAGATTTCAATGACTGACTTTCCATTCTGTCAGGCAATGATCTTGTCCCATGAGGGACATGGATAGGGTGAATCACCAAGGTCTTTTTCCCAGGGTAGGGGAGTCCAAAACTAGAGGGAATAGGTTTAAGGTGAGAGGGGAAAAGGGACCTGAGGGGCAACGTTTTCATGCAGAGGGTGGTGCGTGTATGGAATGAGCTGCCAGAAGAAGTGGTGGAGGCTGGTACAGTTACAACATTTAAAAGGCATCTGGATGGGTACATGAATAGGAAGGGTTTAGAGGGAAATGGGCCAAATGCTGGCAAATGGGACTAGATTAATTTAGGATATCTGGTTGGCATGGACATGTTGGACCGAAGGGTCTGTTTCCATGCTGTATGACTCTATGACTCTAATACCTCCATATAGCCCTATCAGTTGGCTAGAATTGTCGATGCAAATGAATTTTATTAGGCATGACCTCAGCTCCTGTACGTATTTCATAATCAGTATTAAACCATCGGGGGCTGGAGAATTAAGAAAAGGAATCCTGACAGAACAAATGCATAATTAATATATTTCATCAATTATAAATGGTTATCAATTACTTTGTAAAGGAACGACAGAATCAATTAATGGAAAATTTTTTTAAAGAATCAGGATTTTCTGCTTAGTATTTTGAAATCTTCTCCTTCGAAATGTTCTCCTCCAACATGCAAAGCAGTTGTTGGTTCATCTCCCTAAGTAGCTTTTTTTTGAACTCATGCACCATCTCAATTTGGAACTATATTTCACAATTCCTCCTTTTTGAACTAAAGTTTTGGAACTCCTTCCCAACAGCACGACAGGAATCCCTTAGCACATTGGACCAGGAGGCTAATGTTTAGCCCCTTGAGCTTCTGCTGCTTTTCTATGAGATCCTGGCTGATTTGCAAACTAACTCCATATCCCCAGTCCCATATCCCTTAAGAATTTTGTTTAACAAAAATCAGCTTGAATAAAGGCAAAACACGCCTGATGCTGGAAATCTGAAATATAAGCAGAGACTGTTGGAGAAACTCAGCAGGTCTGGCAGCATCTGTGGAGAGAGAAACAGTTAACGTTTTCAGTCCGTTGTGACACTTCTTAAGAAATTTACAACTGCCTTGGTTCAATCACCATTTGCTGCCTCTAATAGCCTTTGAGCAAAGAAGAACTCTTTAATTTCACTCCTGACAGGTCAGTCCCTAATCTTTAGACAATTCCCCCAATCTCCAGACTCACCACTTAGTGGAAATATCTTGAAAACTTCCTGGGAATACAATCCATAATTGTGATATCTCTTTGGAATTTCACATTGGTCCTTTCTGGTAAATCTACACTGCATCCCCAACAAGACCAATATATCCTTGTCACTGTGTGGTGCCCAGAATGGGTTGCATGATTCCAAGTGCGACCCATCTGGGTCTTTGTAAAGTTGCAGCCCAGCTTTTACCCCATTGTGTTCGAATCCTCTAGGTATATAGGCCACAATTCCATTAGGCTGCTTGACTTGCATAGGAAAGATTTAGAGGGATCTGGGCCAAGCGAAGGCAAATGGGACTACTTCAGTTTGGGCAACCTGGTTGGCATGGATGAGATGGACCGAAGAATCTGTTTCTGTGCTGTATGACTCTATGACTTTTTGTCAGCCTGTCCATGACATTTTAGTGATGTGTATATCTGGGTCCCAAGTCTATTTGAACCACCTCTGTTTCTAGTTTCAGACCACTGTTTGAAGAGCTGATGTATTGTAATGCTTCTGTGATCCAGAATGTGCCCAGTTCTATCCTTGTTAGACCTGAAGTGATGGCCTCACATGCACCTATAAATTAGAATGTATTTGCCAGAGTTTTCCCATTGATTTAATATACAACTACCTCTTTACAACTTTATGCTTCTATGCAAGCTGCTTACAATGCTGTAAAATTGAGCATGTGCCTTTCAATTTCAACCTGGAAGTCATTAATAAATGTGGTGAATCATAAGACACCAACACAGATCCTGTGGAAGACCGCTCGCTGCATTCTGATAGCCAGAGCGCACAAATGTGTGCAATGTGTGGTTTAAACTGTGCGGATGCATAGTTCTACAGCAATGGGGGATATTAGTGATAATATCTCTTGGTTAGTAATCCAGATTGAGGCCAATCCCCATCACGGTGAAATCTGACCTCAATAAAAACTTGGAATCCAAAGCTAGCCTAATGGTAACCATTGTCGATTGTTGGAAAAACCCATCTGGTTCACTAATGTCCTTTAAGGAAGGAAATCTGCCATCCTTACCTGGTCTGGCCTGCATGTGACTCCAGACCCACAGCAATGTGGTTGACCCAACTACTTTCTGACATGGCCTAACAGGCCACTCAGTTGAAGGGGCAATTGCGGATGAGCAATAAATGCTGTCTCAGCCACGTCTAATGAACGAATAAAATCGAAATTGGAACGTATTGCACCAGCAAAAGCCCCTGTGCCTTTAGGGAAGAAGACTGCCATCCTTACTTGGTCTGGCCTACATGTGACTCCAGACCCATAGCCATATGGCTGACTCTTAACTGCCCTCTGAGCACAAGTGTATGGTCGCATATTGATCTTAAAAGGGATCATATAAAGAAACAAATGCACAGTGAGAGAGAAGTCAGTGGGAACTGTAATTTGGTGGTCAAATGAGGTTCCCTCATAGCCACAGTTCTGTAGCTGAAAAGTGCCACTGTAGACAAGAATCTGTATTAGGAAGTGTGGCTTAAAAAGGAGAGCCAATAAAAATAAAAATCTGTTGACAGGAAATATCTTTGGAGCTTTTGCACTGTGTTTCTAAATCTGGACAAATCAGCACTTCTGCTGAATTGTGAAAGGGAAATTTGAGTGTGTTTATTGAGATTATCTGATCAAGTTGGCGCTGCAATGTTGCACCTCCCAAGACAATGGGACTGTCACTCACAGTGGGATAGTGTCCTATGAACATTCCCCTCCTGTTTTAATCGAGTTTTAATGTGTAATTCCAAGTCGTACATCAAATCACACAGGCACACAGAGAAAACACTTATCTCTACCAGATAGCGGCTTTTCTATTGCTCAAAATAGGAGACACAACTTTACAATAGTTGGCAAGAGATGAGGAGAACTTTTTTTAACGCAAACTGTTACAATGGACATATTGCTACCTTTCCAAAAAGAATCGGATAAATTTGTGAAAGGAAAACCATTCTGGGGGTTACGAGGAAACAGCACAAGAATGGGGACCAATCAGATTGTTCTGCTGAGGGGGAAAGTGGCTTCCTTCTGTTTTGAAAGATTGGGTAAGTTGAAGAACTTCAGCGCTGAGAAATAGAACAATTTCTTCTTTTAGGCACCACTGTCAATAACACGCAGTTTTTGTCAGTGCGTAAAAATCATTCCCCTCTGACCCCAAAACCCATGAACCTTTTCTAATTTCTGCATTCCGCACTGCACCTCCCCCCCACAACTTCTCAACCCACAACCAAACTCTCTGCTCCTATGATGCTGCTTGGCCTGCTGTGTTCATTCAGCCCTGTACCTTGTTGTCTCGGATTCTCCAGCATCTGCAGTTCCCACTATCTCTGATTCAATTTTAACCCCACTGCGAAGCCTCTTCTAAGGAAGCCTCTCTGCTCCTATGATGCTGCTTGGCCTGCTGTGTTCATCCAGCCCTGCACCTTGTTGTCTCGGATTCTCCAGCATCTGCAGTTCCTACTATCTCTGATTCAATTTTAACCCCACTGCGAAGCCTCTTCTAAAGAAAAGCCTCTCTGCTCCTATGATGCTGCTTGGCCTGCTGTGTTCATCCAGCCCTGCACCTTGTTGTCTCCTCATTAGCCCCAGCCTCTTCACTCCCAAACCACTTGGAAAGACATTGCCAATGTATACCAGACCGGGGGCATCTTGAGATTGTAGCCCGCGGTAGACCAAAAGCTGACTCCAGAGGTGGTATTAATGAACATGCGAACCCTGTGACCGGACAGCCCACACCATAATTTCAGTAAAAAGGCAGAAAACATTGAATCTTTACAGATGGATAAATAGCACGGCTTATTGTGCTACGGTTCATTTTGAATGGTGAATCCATGAGTAAACATTCCTCGGCCCTAGTTTTTCATGTGGTTTTGTGGATGTTTGTGTTTTTAATGAATTGGATAGAGGCGGGGGAGGTTGGCATGTAGAGCAGCGGGTAGCTCCTGCCACCGTGCCAGACGTTCTGGGTTGAAGTCCCACACTGGAACTCAGTGGGAAGTGCATTTGTAACGTGGTCAAACTGTATGTGACCAAAAAAAAAGTGATCAGATTGTCGGTCTGTAAATCCTTCTAATAGAGGGGGAGGGGAAGAGCCTTCTGCTCAGCACCTTGTTAAAAGTGCTTTGTTAAAGAATCCCACACACTAACTCTTTCCACAGGCTGTTCAAGGGACTGATGAGGAGCTGTGTGAAGGACATCAGGTATTAACACCGACTGAATAGACACTCTCCAATATCATCTCTCCTATGGCTCGAACTGAGATAAGACTTTTATCACAGTGGAATGGCCCTTGCTTGGGACCAAG